GAGCCAGTGCTTCCTCCAGGTCTCTGAGTGGGCCACACTCTACTGGTTTCCCAGGCCAGAAGCAGGGAGCCAGATGGGAAGTGGTGCTGCTGGGACACAAAGTAGTGTCCCTATGGGATGCCAGCACTTGCAAAGGGAGGATTAAGCATTGACCATCGTGCCAAGCCCACAGCTCTCCTCCTTATTTTAGCTTCCTGCTAATGTGCACTCTGGGAGAGAGCAGGTGGTGGCTCAAGAAGTTGAGTTCTTGCCACCCACGTGGGAGACAAAACTTGGATTTCCTGGCTCCATAGACATTAAGGGCGTTAACTGATTCTCTTTTCAAGTTAATTAATTAAAAATAATTTATATAAAAAATAAACTCTTAAAGGCAAATAAAACAAGAAGACAGCTCCCTTGAAATTCTTGTGCAATGCTTCTGTCACATTTTACTCGAGCATATAATGCAAGTTATATCCATGGGTGTAAGAATGCTCGCCTTAGCTAGAGCATGCACACCTACCTCCCAAAGTGGCAGTTCTAATACACACTTCACCAATGAAATGCATTCCTCTGACGCCCATCCCTCCTACAGTCATTGCCACGCTTTCAAGTTTTGCTCCTGAATGAATTAGTAAATGAACAATGGGACAACCACATACGGTTCATATCAGTTTTCAAAAAATTCTGTTCATAAGAGGACTTATGATGCTAGCTTATAACTAGAATAACTAAAATATACTGCTAATTATGCTGTTGGGGCAAGCCTTAGGCTCAGGAAGCCTTAGGAAGCCCAAATCCCACAGCAGAGTATGTGGGTTCAAGTCCCCGTTCTGTCTCCAGTTCCAGCTTTCTGCTAACAAGCACCTTGGCAGGTAGCAGGTGATGGTTCTAGTTTGGGTCCTGCCATCGGGTCTTCATTTGTACATGAGCCAAATTGAGTTCCAGGCTCCCGGCTGAACTTCAGGTGTTAGGAACATTTGGGAAAAAAACAACAGATTCTCTCTCTCTCTCTCTCTTTCTCCCTCCCTCCCTCCCTCCTTCCCTCCCTCCTTTCAAATAAATATAGTTAAACAATAGGAAAACTCATCTGGCAACCTTCATGTGCCTCTATCTGGGTTGATGCTTAGAGAAAGACGTTAATTCTCTTGTTTCCCTGTGAAAATACAAAACTATGCATTTTCTAACTGTAAAATCTAACTATGAAGAAACATTGGACAAAATACAGAAGAATTATCCATCCTTTTCCAGAATGCCAAAACGCACAGAGTCTAGGAAAACGTTGCGCACTCCAGGAGGTTGAGAGACAGAGATGAAAGTGAACTAATTGCAATGTGTGATCCAGAATAGAATCACAGAGCAGAAAAAAAGACAAGATGATTGACATTGGTGGGTGGACAACTTTCTAATCTGTCCTGTGGGTTAGGTAATTTGGTGTTGATGTTCCAATTTCTGATTTTGATCAATGTGATGTGAGTCTAGGACAGAAAGTGAAAACCAATGTTACCAGGAATGGGTCCAAAATGTAACAGCTGATTAACTGAGTGAAGGGCAAAGATGAACTTCTTGGATTATTCTTGTCATTGCTCTTGGAATCATACATTTTTCATTTTAAAACAAAGCTTCAAACCCGAATAGGCTGTGCCCTGTATGATTCTAGATAAATTCTGGAGGTTAAAACTGTGAAGAGAGTGCAAAGAACAGCTGCTTCTAGGGGCTGGGGGTGGGAGGCGAGAGGAGTTACGGAAGGTCTGTAGAACTATAAAGGCAGATGCATGTAGTCACAAACTTGTCTAAATCCACTGGGTCAACCTGGAGCATCATGGGCCTTCCTTAATAATCACGTATCCTCAAAATTGTCACAAATAAATCCCATGAATGCAAAAAAAATTTTAATAATATTTACGAACTAAAACTTTTTGAAGGGAGGGCTATATGGAAACTCTGGATTCCCACCCAGAGTTTCTATAAAGCTGAAACTGCTGTACAAAATAAAGATTATTCATTTTTCAGATTGTTTATTGGAAAGACAGACATATGCAAACACACACAGAGAGAAAGAGAGGTAGAGAGAGAGAGAACAAGAGATCTTCTGTCTGGGGGTTCACTCTCTAATTGGGCGACAACAGCCAAAATCTGGGCCAAGCCAAAGGCAGGAGCTGAGAATTCCATCCTGTTCTCCTTCATGAGCAGCAGGGACGGGCCTTTCCGGTGCATTGGAAGCTGAGCAGCCAGGACGCCTGCCAGTATGGAATGCCACTGTCCCAAGGACTGCTTTAACCACTGCACCACGACACCGGCCCCAAACATAGTGCCAAGCAAAAGGAGACACCCACCGAGACACAGTACGAGTCATCCATCCATCCTGATAAAGTCCAAAAACAACCTAAACAAAAGATTAAAAAGAAAAACTGCAATATTTGTTACAAACAATAGGATCTCGATCATTTCTGAGGATGTGAGCGGTGGGATATTCTGTATATTAAATCAAAGCCAAAACCATGAAGAAAAAAAAAAAGTTGATGGCTTTTATTTCTTTTTTTTTAAAAAGGATTTATTTTTATTGGAAAGTCATACAGAAATGAGAGACAGAGAGGAAGATCATTCCCTGATTCACTCCCCAAGTGTCCACAATGGCCAGAGCTGCATCTATCCGAAGCCAGGAGCCCAGAGCCTCTTCCAGGTCTCCCACATAGGTGCAGGATTCCAAAGCTTTGGGCCGTCCTCAACTGCTTTCCCAGGCCACAAGCAGGGAGCTGGATGGGATGCGGGGTACTGGGATTAGAACCGGCGCTCATATGGGATCCCAGTGCCTGCGAGGCAAGGACTTTAGCTGCTAGGCTATCGCGCCTGGTCCAGATGGCTTTTATTTCTTAAAAATACAAAATAATTTAAAAAAAAAAACCTGTGTTCGCTTCAGAAACAAATAACTATAAACTAAATAACTATAAAAATTAAATAACTTGGGGGATTTACAGTCCACTTAGAATCCGGTGATGTCATCAGTGCTGGCCGGCCTGCAGGATGACATTGAGCCTAAGTAACCTCAGTAAGAATAAGTCAAGGGTCTCTAACCACCTGAGGGGGAGACAGACCTCATTCCAACTTCCTGCACAGGTGGGGAGTGGCTAGGCTGAACTTGGCTCTGACTTTAAAATCTGGACGCAGGAAAAAAGATGAGGGCGCTGCTTAATATCTGCAGTTGACACTGAGAAGACGCAGTGCGCTTGAGAATCACAGGAGTCTGACATCCTGAAACATAGGGATTCCCCAGCTGCTACAGCAAAGAGCTTCGATGCGACCGTCACGGGAGGCATAATACAAAAAAAGGGATGTGAGGGCTTATCAAGATATTGCTTGTAGTGGGGCTGGGGAGAACGCGGCAGGGAGGACAGCCCTGTATGTACCAGAAGAAAACTACAAAGCTGAGACTACTCAAGGACTTGTAGGAAATAGACTCAAGGGAGCTTTTTGCATCAATCCAGCAGTAGTAGGTCCGTGAGATCTCATCATATCCGATTCCCCTCCGACTGAGCGTCTGGGTGGCTCCGGAAGCTGGAGAGAGGTTTGACCGCAGGTAAGGTTGATGGCATTCTTGCCGAGGAGTATTCCTCCCCGACTGATTTCTGTCCCACCCTACATTATCTTTAGGGTGTGACCCGATTAATCCTTGGGTGATTGGTTAAGGAGCTCAGGGTAGAAGAGATTATAGCCCACCCTTTTGGCACTATAAAAGGACTGAAATCTGCCCTTTTCGGTTTTGAGAAAGCCAGAGGATCTACCGCCGGCTGGGTGTTTGACTCTTTCTGTGCTTTTAGGGCACTCTCGCCTTCAATCCCGCTGTGCCTTTCAGCACCCACACTGAAGCAGACGGAGCCACAGGAGAACTAAGGTAAATTATGAAATGCAAACATTTGGACGAAATAAAATTGTTGCTTCTGGGTAGTGGTGTGTCCCTGTATCTGCCTCTCCCGGGTTGCCCTGAGGCCCATGGTATTCCCAGGGGGCACATCAAGTGTATTTGGTTCTTAAACACTTGATGATAGAGCACCGGCTGTGTGCCAGCCCACAGCTGGGACACAACCAAAAATAAAGCTAAAACTCTAATCTCAGCTGCGAGGGCAGCGACGGTCAGTTACAGGCGAACCAACGCTGCTTTTTTGCAAATGCAGAAAACTAACTTTAATTTCCTCAATCCCTGAACTAATGGCCACGTGGACCACACGTAGGGGTTGGGGTGTTTAAAATGGACTTTTATAGAGTCCACACGTGTGGAGATGTATTGCCCCGCGGGCCAGGCCTGGTCTTAAGCTATGGACAGGCATCCGTTCATTTCATCCCTAGCCGCCCAGTAAGCCAGGTCCTGCTTTTAACAGCATTTCCCAACCAAAGCGAAGCCAGAGTTAAGTCTAGGCAAGGATTCCCGGCTTGAGGACTCCCGAAGCCAGCGGCTAGTGCTGCGCTTAATCCATCCTGGCGCGGGTCGTGGCGATTTTGTCCCTGCAGGGTCTGCGGCAGAAAGTGCCCTTGCAGAGTTTAGGGTGTCCAGATTGTTGGGGGCACCTGGGGAGGGCTTGCATAGCAACCATCGTGGACTGCGTAGCAACCATCATGTTTACAAAAATGTGGAGGGTTGTGGGGATGGAGGACAGACGCGGCGGGGCAGGGGCACGTAGCCAGCTCCCTTGCTTGGCACCGTAAACTTGGCCAAACGAACCCTCCTCCTCCGGGGACCGCCTCCCCGAGCGGGTCCTCCCTCCTCGGCCACGGCCTCCCCCTTTCGTGTTGGAAGCGGATGGTTTCCTCCGACCTCCCTCTCCCTTTGCGAGGAACATGGTCTCTTCCGTTTTCCCGGCTCCTCCCCCCCGCCTCCCGGCGTTCAAGTTCCGCGACCGGGCCGAGTCACAAAGCGCAGGGTCACGTGGGGCGGGGCGGGACGCTTTGTGACGCCGGCGGCCCCGCCCCCAAGCGGCCCCGCCTCTCCGCGCACGCGCCGGCCCCGCCCCGCGCGCGCGCCGCCCGTGCGATCCCGGCTTAAGAGACCCCGGAGTGGGGCGCTCGCCCGCAGCCAGGCCGCGTCCGCCATAGTACCCGGCTTGGAGGTGTCGCCGACGCCTGGTGAGGGCCCCGAGAGCGGCCGGGGGGGCAAAATCAGAACCAAAACACAGAGAAGGGGAAGCCTGCGAAGCGCCCCCCCCCGCCCCACGTCCCTCGCCTCCGCCCGCCGATTTTCTTTGGCTTGTTGGCCGCGGTGCCGTGGGGCCGGAAGGCGACGAGAGCGAAAAGGCGAGAGCAAAACGTGGAGGATCCGGCGAGAGGAAGCGTCCGGAGAGCCTCGGCGGTGTCCCCGGGGTCCGCCCAAGCCCACCCGGCCGCTGGCTGGGGCCCGGGGTGGTGAGGAAGCGCTTCGAGGCCTACTTGGGGCCTAGTACCGGCTTTGTGTCTGAGGCGGCGGGGGAGGCGGAGCCGAGCCGGGGGCGGCCCACGGGAAGGCCTCTTCTCCTCCGCCGACCGCGCGTTATCGGGCCTAGGCCGCGGGGCCAGCCGCTCGAGGCCTCCGGGTGCTCAGCAGGCGCAGAAAAAAAAGGGGGCTTGGCGTGTCGTGTGGCGGGGAGCCTGGGCCTGGGGAAGCCGACGCCGGTCGTCCGGAAGCCGGGAGGAGGCGAGAGAGCCGCTCGTGGACTCCGGGCCTAGGGCCCCCTTCTTCCCCCCCTCTCAGCCTTCTCCCGGGGGCCTGGGTCACCCACCCTCCACCCTCCCCCACCCCCCAAAAAAAAATATATCCACGGAAGGAGAGACCAACCGGGAGGTGCGGCCGCGCTATGGACCCCTGACCCCTCGGGGTCATCCGGACTCTTAAAACGTTGTGGACTGACCGCTATTGACTGCACCGCCTGACCCCCCAAAAAAACCTCCCCCGTCTCCTGCCGGCCCGTAGCATGAGCGAGGGGGACCCAGCCGGGTGACGCTGTGCCCGTTGGCGGATTCTCGATTTCTCCTTTCGCACCCCCCCGCCCCCCGCCACGTCCTCCTCCCCACATGAAGCGATTTCTGAGTCTCGGGGTGTGTGCGGGGCGGGGGGTGTTCTGAATTATTGTTCTTACGAACCCCTGCTTGTGGTTTTGGTGGGGGAGGGGAGAATTATTTAATCTGCTGAGGCCTTAGGGTCCTCCGGTGTCTCTTTTGAGTGTTTTTTTTGTGTGTGTACCTCTTTTGCTCTTCATTTGATAAATATACATATATTGAGAGTGTCCCACGTCTCCTCGCTGAACCTTAGGAACCCTTTGGCACCATGTCGTGCGTGCATTATAAATTTTCCTCTAAACTCAACTATGATACCGTCACCTTTGATGGGCTGCACATCTCCCTGTGCGACTTAAAGAAGCAGATCATGGGGAGAGAGAAGCTGAAAGCTGCCGACTGCGACCTGCAGATCACCAACGCGCAGACGAAAGAAGGTAAGAGCCCACGGGCTCCAGCTACGTGCTGGGTGAAGACGCATATGCCAGCCGTGAGGAGCCTGGCAGAAGACCTAACCGCCGTTCTTGCGGGACTGTTTGGTTAGGGTTGCAAGCCGTCGGCCTTGGAGTTGAACCGGCTTCCCTGTTGATTTCAACCTCACCAAGCCCGCAAGTCCAATGAAAGCCTGGTTCCACAGGAGCACGGGTGGGGGGCGCTCAGGGCAGAGGGCGCACAGGGCAGGGGGGATGGATTGAGTTCTTGGGATGGCGCTCAGCCTGTGTGGCTTCTCCAACCAGAATGGGGAGAGGAGAAGCAGGTGCAGTGTTGCTTTAACTTTTCCGAACCTGACAAGCTTATGAAATTCAATGGCAAAATGGGATGACCTTGCTTTCTTGCTCCCCGTTCACTCCTTGTGTCGCAAAGAAGCAGCAGTGGATTTTCAGGCAGTGTTAGAATGGGTGTTTTGTTTTGTTTTTGGAACGTGAAAGCATTGGCCCACTCTTGTTAGGAGTGATTCATATAATAATGGGGGCGATTGAGCTCTCAGCTCTTCACGTTGCTCTTAAAATTGAGCAGTTGGGTAAAGATCAGAAGGACCGATTTTTCTGGTTTTAAAGTAGAAATTGCTAGGCTTCCCATTACTATTGATAGCCAGGATATTGGGAGGAAAATTCTGTTACAAAAGAAGTGGAAAGTAGGCCTCTAGTTAGAATCTAGTTAGTTCTCTCTTAAAGCGCGCTGATCCACGTGACAGGCTGTCTCTCCTGACTGGCCACAGTTTCTCTTTGTGGGCAGACTAATGCTGGTGTGTAGTTTTCAGTAGATGAATCTCCTGAGATTATTGATGGAGTACCAAGAAGAAAGTGAAGTTTTAATTAGGGGACTTATTGATCACAGAACTGACTGAAATGAAGTGTCCCCTACCTCTGGTCTGTCAGTCACCTCAGGTCAAGGAACATCAGTACTGACAGGGTGGCACTCCAACAACATGCTCCTTCGGCTTTTAAAAATGAGTACCTTAACCTTGGGAAATTAGTCGTGGGTACTGTATTTGTGCTTGGTGAAATGAGTTGTCGGTGGTCATGAATAGTGGAAATATAAGGCCGCCATTTTTATCTTTATTTTTTTACATTTTATGTAATGGATGGGTAAGAATTTTAGGCCATTGTGATGTATTAATGAGTATTTATGATTGAGAAGAACCAAAAATAAAGGGTCATTGAGGCTGCTTTTGATCATACATGAGTTTCATATTTTACTGATGTGTTACACAAGTCACTTGAGACTAGGCTTTTATGCTTGTGTTCCCCCTAACGTTTGAACATAACCTTGTTAAAGTGAATTATGGCAGAAGGAATTTTGTTCACAAATGTTAAGAGTGTTGTGACTGTGTGCATGTTTTGTTTTTCCGCTAGTCCAGGGAAATAAAGGATGATTCACCAGTCAGGAAAGTGCTTTGCTCTGCAGCATGTTTCCTTTGATGTGTCTCTGTGGGAACTGCCACTTTTTAGGATAGGTGCCTTACCTCACTAGGTAGTAGATTAAGAATGCCACTGGTTTTAGCACTATCTAGTGAATTACAGATTGCAAAATAAATGTTTGTAGCTTCGTAGGAGACCACCTAGGAGTGACTCTTGAATTGGACCTCTTTAATTTGCTTTGAGTTAATGTCTAGAATACCTCATGTTCCCTGTTTCTGTAAATCAGTCCATGTTTAGGCCCCTTAACATCTCGATAAATCTAAAGTGTTTGTATCAGGATGCCATGTGTTTTAATCTTATTTCTGAAACTGTGTCAGAAGGTCCCCATAACATTCATTACTGTGTGTTGAGGGCTTACTAAGCTTTTCCATACACTGACCCCTAAAAACCAGCTTTCATTCTGGACTTGGTCTGAGGAGTTTGAAAGCATTTTAGAGGGACCCATACTAACTTCTTGACTCTCTCAAGTTGTCCAATTCATCTTGTTTTTCATTCCTTCCATCCCATTCAGGTTTTTGGATAAAAACAGTTACATTAGCAAGTCTTTTAAAGTAAAACATTTTCCTTGTTGAAGTATTTGAAATATGCAGGTACCTGCTAGGATAGAAGGCATTGCAATTCAGGAACCTAAAAGGGCAGGTGGTTCCCTGCCTCAGACATCCATTCCAGATCTAAGTGCCTTGGTTCCAATTCCAGTTCCACCCTTGATGTCAACTTCCTGCTAATCTGGCAGGTGACAACTGAGTGTTCTGAGTTCCTGGCTCCCAGACATTCAGGGAGTGAACCAGTGCATGGGAAATCTTCCCTCTCAAGACAGAAAAGGCAGTTTGGACATCCATCCCTGTGTGAGGGCCGTAAGGACAGCTGACTTTCAGTCCGGTGTAGCACTGTGTTGATCAGATGAATGAATTGTCTTGGACAATATTTGAGAATTATTACACATTGTCAGAAACCTGTGTCAGGTGTTTCACATTACGTTGTGTTTCAGGATTCCTTGTCAAAAATCACCCATCTCCCCTGCTCCTTTTTTTTCTGACTCCGTGTACTTGGATTTGGGACCAATAAACCATCCAGATAAACAATGATAGTCTTATGAGGGTGCCTGTGTCTAGGAAGTTGCATCACTCCAGTTGGATACCTGTGAGAAGCAGCCTACCACTTGAAAATACACTCTAGAGCCCTTGCCTCAACAATTAGAATACTAACATGACTAAAAATGATAGTTGATAGATGGATATATTTGAAATCATTAGAAAAACAGTTGGCCATTATGTGATCTATAATTTTAACTGAAACTTAGAGTAAACCTCATCTGGTGATGAGAGGATAAGGAGAACATTTTGACAGATTCCTTCCTTAGTAAATCTTGGCAATAGTTAAGCTGCAGTTTCTTAATGCATTGTTATAGAAGTCTTACAAATAATGGCAATCTAAGGAATAGAGTGTAAGGCCATTTCTCCTTTTGGTCTTAGAAAGTGCTAACCCGGCATCCTAGGTGTGCGTGTGGATTCCTCTTTCCCCTGAGCTCCCCAGTCCATCAGCAGGCCTTATCAGTTCTATTTGAAAACACACTCCATTTCTGTCTGATTCATGTAGCTAGTAACTGTTGTACAGGTAGATGCCAGAGACGTCAAAGGAAATTACATTGTCATCACCTTGTTCAAAGTCTTCCAGTGTCTTTGTTGTACTTAGGAACAAAAGTATCAATTGGTGTGTGATTTGTGTGTTTCTGCCTGTATCTCACATTGTTCCCCTCTGTCACTGTCCTCAGCTTTTCTCTGCTGGCATCTTGATGCATCTGTTTTGGGATAACTAGTTGCTCAGTTGTTTAGAGGGGCTTCCTTGGAGTCAGCATTCTATCTGAAGTTTTCCTTTGTTACTATGAAATTTCATTTTTATTCATAGCATCTAGTTTTCTAGTCGTCGTCCTAATAACCTCCGTAAGGACAGAGATCATATTTAAGGCATGATCAGAGGCTGGGAGAGACACACTACCTTCATTCTAAGTAGTAGCTTTTTCTGCTGGCCAGCGTTTCTATGAGAACATGGATCATAATATTTAACTCCTAGTCAGGGACTGGGAGAGACACACTGCCTTCATTGTAAGTGGTAGCATTTTCTGTGGTTCAGCAGCCTTTCTAGCCAAGTAACGAGAGAGTCTAAGATTTCGAATTTCTCAGAAATGGAGGTGCTAGAGCCAAGAGCTTTTACTGACAACGATTTGGTTTCCTTTAAGAAGTCTCCTAAGGATGTTGGGTATTTGCACTGACTCCCCAGTGTAGAAATGCAAGGGTCGTGTGGTTATTATGTGTTTTATGTTGAAGCTTATTTCCCATAAAATCTGACATTGCAAGCTTTCTAGTTCTTTGGGAACTTACAAATCCTCAAATAGGACTTCAACTCTTTACCTTTATTTACAGAATATACTGATGATAACGCTCTCATTCCTAAGAATTCATCTGTAATTGTAAGAAGGATTCCTATTGGAGGAGTTAAATCTACAAGCAAGACATATGTCATGTAAGTATCGAATTACACATTTTTTTTCCCAAAGGGCCCTTTGTACAAGTTAGAAAGAATATATAGTTCAGAGCTGAAACTATTATCATTGTTAATGAATGTCTTCCCAGTTCTGCACACTTAGAATGAGGGGTTTTGTCCTGTTTCCCCAGTCAGCTGGCTTGACCACTTGTTGGAAGAAGAGTTGTTATTAGGAAAAGGTTTTGCTCCATATGCGCAATATTCATGAAAACAAAGTGATGCTCTAAAAAAAAAATTACCAAAAAAAGTGATGCTCAAATACCTTTTTAGTTTTAGTTTTTACTTCCTTTGTGTTGGTGTTGATCGTTTCTGTTCTTGTCACTGTGGAAGTAGACATGTTGTAGAGTTTTACCCTGAGTATTTTGATAGCATAAAGATTAGCCACTGATGCTAAGGTGTTTCTTACAGTAGCGGGTTTTCGTTGGGAAACCGTAGTATGTAGGACTCACGGACAGGCATTGAGATCAGGCTTAGGTTTGAATTCATTTTTACTGCTTTTTACTGGTAGATGCTTTTGGGGAAGATGCTTAGTCTTTAGCTTAGAGTCCTCAGAATATGGTCAGCCCTCCTAACCAATCCTGGATTGAAAATCTTTGGGAGAGAAATGTTATCTTGTTGCTGCCATATATAATAATAAAAAAAAGACAAAGAAATCCTTTGCTCGGGCTGGTGATGATTGCCCCTGTAGTTAACATATACACAAACTTTTTTTCTTGTCATTTCCTAAACAAGATGGGATATCAACTTCTTATATAACCATTTACATTATACTAAGTATTACAAGTCATCTAAAGATGGTTTAAAGTAAATAGCACATATGTGTAAAATATGTGAAATACTGCCATTTTATATAAGGGAGTTGAGCACCTGCAGGTTTTAGTATCTTGAAGGGTTCCTGGAACCAGTCCGCTAGAACTAAGGAACAACTATGCTTCACAGAGAGGGTTGTAAGATTTCAACAAACAGTGCCTGGCATATGATAAATGCCTATTATTTGAATAAAAACACAGCAGTTGCTTGGGACCAGCCTGGATCTTACACTCATTGTCAGGGCAGCGACAGGGGCTATTAGGTCAAATAACTAGTTAGGTTTGAGAGTTTGGCAAACTCTGTATGTTCTTGAAGTAAAACAGTCATGTCTTGGAACTTCGCCTCATGTGGCCAAGTATTCTAAGATTTTTCTCAATTTGTTGTAAACTTAGCATTGAGATTTGTTGTAAACTTTATATAAGTCTGCTACGGACAACTTTTAAAAGCTAAGTACTCTTCTGTTACCAAGTGCTTTTTTAAAAAAATAACAAATTTTTGGTAATCCATTTGGATTACCAAATCTATATGCCTTTTCTACAAAATTTTATGTTCACAACACCATAGAATTTTATGGTAAATTTGCCATGTGAAATACCTGTAAGCAATTAATAAAAAATTAAAACTTCGATGGTTTTAATATACGGACTCCTTTTAGATACTATCCAACCTTTTTTCTGTAGTTAAAGTGGCATAAACTTTTAAAATTAAAGATTTTAAAGGCAGCTCAACTCCCTAATCTCTTTCCTTTGTGAACTAAAGATTTTTGGTTTTTTTTTCTTTTTTTGTTTTTTGTTTGTTTTTAGATTCATTTATTTTTATTGGAAAGGCTGATTTATAGAAAGCAGGACAGAAAGAAAGATCTCCTATCCACTGGTTCACTCCCCAAGTGGCCACGACACCTGGAGCTCAGCTGATCCGAAGCCAGGATCCTCCTCCCTGTACCCTACTTGGATATAGGGTCCTAAGGCCTTGGGCCATCCTCCATTGCTTTCCCAGGCCACAGGCAGGGAGCTGGATGGGAAGTGGAGCAGCCAGGACGCCCGTATGGAACTCCAGTGCTTGCAGCATGGAAGATTAGGCATCGAGGCATCCTCCCAGGCCCTTTGGTTTGGGTTTTTTGTTTGTTTCTGGCATATTCTTTTAGACATCAAACTGTCCATTTGCATTTAACTACCCTTTAAACTAAACTCTCAAGACTAAGCTGTACTTTACTGGGACTGAATTCTTCTGTCTTTGGTCATTGTTTTAAAGATTTTGAAACTAAAAATAGCTATTAGCCTATCTTGATTCAGGAGTTTTGGAACACAGTAATTTTTGAGGAATCCAGGTCATAAATGTTAACAATGGTATTGCTTTGAGAAAACAATGTGAAAATTTTTCTGTCAAGGCGAACTCAGAAGCTGGGTAATAGTATTATTTTTTAGTCTGGTAAGAATAAAACACAAAGTTTATAAATATAGAATTTATATGCTACCTTTCAAAAAATATTCATTGCAATTTATAAGGGAGGCCTGTTTTACAGTTACCTGGTACAGAATTTTTCAGTTGTTGATGTATCTTAAACTTTATAAAGTAGTAAAAAAAAAAAAGAACTAAAGTAGCAAAGATTAATGTAGTAATTTGTTCATTTACTTACTTTAGAAATGTGCAGTTTTTAAATTTTGTACTGAAGTAGAACTGTGTAAAAAAAATGTGTGTGGACCTATGTATTAAGATTTGTTAGCATTTAAAAAAAAAACAGTATTCAGTAGCTGATGTTAATTTTTGTTTTGTTTTTTAGAAGTCGAACTGAGCCAGTCATGGGGACTACGAAAGCAGTATGTAAAAACACAATCTCAAACTTTTTCTACACATTGCTTTTACCTTTAATGTAGGAGTGAAGTAAATCATTTTAATACTATCCACCTGATCATAGAGCATATTGTAAATAAAATGTATTTTGGTGACAGCCCAGTTGAATATGAATCTTTGTGGCATAATTTGCACACATTTTGTGGAAATGGGTGATTTGTGCCCATAGCACTGTTTCATATTAAATATGCTAGCATTCTCCCTGTATGACACTGTGTTGTACAGCTCATGTATGATCTTTTTAGATCGTGTAGGTTTTACACTAATGAACATGAGAACATGTTCTACATCTGTCTGTCTATAGTTAGTATTTTGTATGTATGTACAGGCTGTTGCGTGCTTTTCGTTTCTTGCAATAAAAGATGTCTGGAGTGTATACTTTGCCATCTTCACGTTGTATCACTTAGTTTTAGGTTTTTTTTCTGCCTGATTGGCTTTCAGAAATGCATAAGTAACACTCAAAGCTAAGTTTAATGCTTTCTCCAAGTTCAGACACGTCATAGGAAAGAGCTTTCCAGAAACCCTTGATACAGCTTTAATATTAAATCTTGCTTTATTTGGCAAGGATTTTGAGCTTCCTGTTTACAGCTGTGTTATGAAGTCAACCCAAAGTTGCTCCCTACCCCCAGCTGCAACTCCACGAGTACAGAATATTTCAGTGATCTTAATTTTGATGTAATTTCTGTATATTGTTTTCTAATTTCAGTACAGGTCTTCCACTTCTATTTAGTCTGCCCAAATGGCCAATTAAAATATTCCCTCTTTCTCAGAAGATACTATAATGCCACCTTAATTGTAGGCTGTTTGAAAGCTGTAGCTTATCAAATATAATTCCTCTTAACCGGGATGACATCTCACTTTTTATGATCACAGATACACCTTTAGCTTAACACTGTTTTGACTTTGAGCTCTTAAGTAAAAGGTGGTAGGATTCTTGAGTGTGGAGTGAAACACGTTGGCGAACACAGGAGGTCTGTCATTACTTGGGTTCTGTTAACTTGATGGTTCTCTAAACATTTTACTGCTCAGGCTTGATATTGTACACCATGCAAGATGTTTGAAATCCTCATTTAGAATTGAAGGGTATTGCTTGCTATTTCACTTTATACTTTTTAAGTACTACCAATCTTTGTGTATGAGGCATTTCAGTAACGCTGGATCATTGGATCTAAAATGGTAACATAAGAGTATCTGAACTTTGGACTTGTTCTTATAACATATATGATCTTTAGTTCTTGTGGAACTAAATATAGTGATTCTCAAAGATCAAACATTTTAGTGTCTTTTGTTTTTCCCCCCTCTTTTTGGATATGGGTTTTTTGTTTTTTGTTTTTTTAAAGCATAATGCTGTAAAAATTGTCCACGTAACTGTTTTGCTGGTGATTGATTTAAACCTGATTTTCATGTATCCAGATGCTAGCAGAAATTAGACTGACTATCCTGGTGATTGTAGTAGTTAATGTAACACATTTTGTATAAAGTACATTCTATATAGTATTTAATTCGGGTGAAGTTTTATTTCTTGAAAATAATTATTTTTGTTTATTAGCATGTGTATAAACACAAATCACATGTTCATAAATAAAGTTAACATTCTTTTAGCCTTGTGTGTTCCCTGGCATGTCTGTATTACATTCATAAGAAGCAGTGTATTTTAAGCCTATTAGGTTTCTCTTTTCTTTCTTTCTTTTTTTTTTAATACATTGAAAAGTGGCTGCAATTTTTAGGAAACACGAGAACTTGTTAGAATCTGCATTGTTGTTGCTTGGAGTACATGAGCTGACATCTTAGAGTAAGAATTATTCTCTTGAAGTTCAGTTAGTGCCCATTTGAGGAGATTGTAACAATTGCATGGGTTGTACACATTCACAAAACAAAGTGGAGGCGCTGAGAGCCCATTTTTATCCTGATTAGTCAAAGTAAGATAGGTACATTTTTCCTGGGGAATAATATACCAACTTGAATCAAGATGACTGTTTTCATACTCTTAAGCCTTGTTTTAACCATCCTTCCATATTGGTACTGACTCCAAAACTGATTGTTACTCTTGACAGATACCAAAATTACTTTTTGCGGGGTCCTTTAATTTCAAGCAAATAATATTGGCTTAAGAGATTTTAGATTCTTGTGCCCCAAAATAAGACACCCCCACCCAGTTTGGTGCAGGGGGGTGGGTTAAATTTAAATATTCACAGTGTGCATCAGTCATTTTTATAAAGACTTTTTAGTGTGGCAATTTTGTTAGTATTTTATGGAGACTTTATTGATGCTTAGTTCATATATATATATATATTCCAAATCATTTTAAAAATATTTCTCAACATTTTGTGCTCATTTCTTAACACCTTGCTACACAAGAAAAAATTGGATGCTTTTCTAAGCTTGTTATAAATTTTGGGGTTTTTTTGGGTGTGGGTGTGAATTTTAAGGTGATATGATTTATTTGGAGTAGAAAATGATTAAGGTGGAATTCCAAATCTGAAACCACTTTAAGCTCAAGAATAATATAATGAAGTAAATTGGCAGGGAATTAAAAAGAAAGCCCAGCACAAGCACAAAACAGATCTTAGGATTTTATGTTAGATGTTAGGAATGGAAGGTTGGGGACTTTTTTTTTTAGCACACTACTTTTCTTGTTCCAGTGGTGAGAAAGTTATTAAGTTAATATAGCAGATTGCTATCTAAGGAAATTTTCAATATTAATGTTCTAGAGAGTAATGGACATGGATTATTTCTAAGCGCTATTTATTTTGTTTAGTAACATGGTATAGGTGATGTTTGCAGTGGTTTAGAATAATTTTTACCTGTTAGTTTTTTTTAAAGGGGCGCATACTTCAGAGCTCATCAAGAAAACCCTCTGGCCAGTTAGGTGGTTATGCATTAGGAATGTGGAATTAGTGTGTTAAGAATAGGAGCTCTTCAGTTCCTCAACATGGAACAAAGAAATTGTTTATATTCCCAACTATAACACACATTGAGCTAACTGACGATGGATGTTAAATTGAGCCACCATTATTTTTATATCTATTAAGTCCTTGATGTGATGAGCATGTTGATTGTATTCTACATGGGGCTCTTAAGTCATACTGCTTTTATTTTAATGCTCTTAGTTTTGAAGAACTTGAGAAATACCAAATGAAGATTTTTTTCTTTGCTAGAGATATCTTTATTTTCTGCTCATTTAAAACGAGTTCTGACCAGTGATATACGAGAAACATACCCTTCAATACACAGCCAACTTAGGAAATGGGGAAATCCATCTTCAGGGTTACTTGCTGCATATATGTATGTCTGTGTGTGTATACACGCATAAATATGCAGTTTTTTTTAACTGACTAAAGTTGTCTTAGGAGAGCCAGTTAGAAATTTTTAAAGATTTTTACTTTCTAAAAACCCTCTTATGTCGTTCACATATACTCAGTCTGGTTAACTTTGCCTTCTCGGTGGGATCCATCGTCACACACTGCCAGCTGTTTACTCTCTCCCCTTTGCTATTCCTTTATTTTTACATTTGCTTGCTTTTGCTGAATACCTTTCCCAGATAAAGCTGTGGTTGCTTTGGCAAAAAAAAAAGTTGCTGCTAATCTTTGTATGGGAGAATAAGCAAATGTTTTTGAGATGCAGTCCACGCTCAAAAAAAAAAGTAGCAATGATGTAAGAGCTGTTATTTAGGAAAACAATTATCTGAGCCATGAAATAACTGCTTATTTTTACAGCACAGGGAAAATTAGAAAAATGCTTATTCTTGCTTCCAGTGTACACTGTCATGAGCATTATCAAATTTAGAGACCATTGAGAGACACAGGACTCTTGCATATGGATTGTCTGAATGATAACCTTTGCTTGGAACCCTCTTTTTCCATTATACTTGACCATTCCCCCAACTGATAGCCGTTACAATAGTGTGAGATAGATTCAGTGAAAATGATGGATGAAGAGAGTTGAGCTACATTTGAAGACTTGAAAGAAAATAGCATTCTTTAAAAACTAAGAAAATGCCCAGTATTTGAACATTAGGAGCTAAATGATCACTTTCCCCTGGTTTCGGTGTGGAACTTGAATGTATGTTTAATTTTTTGTGAACAGATTGATGACTCCTCTGCTTCTATTACACTGGCCCAGCTTACAAAGGTATATATACGTATGTATATGTATTCTTGGAAATGTCTTTCTCTAATTTTTTTTTTTTTTTTTAATGTGGAGCAGTTTGTTAGACTGGGCTGGGGTGGATTTTTTTGTTTTATTTTAAGAATTATACATATTACTGTCCTGTGAAGAGTAGTTGACTATTTGGAGAAGAAGGGGGTACTTGGTCAGCTTAGCCTGGAGTTGCAGTGTTGTTACTCATCTTCAAGACAAGTAGCACATGAAGCTACACCTCATGATTTTTTTCCCTTATACATTTTGGTTGAGTTGCACATTAGACGATAACAGTTCTGGAGGAATTTTGTGGTTTTGGCTCTTACTTACATGGACTTTGATTTAAGGAGCCAAAACAGAAGATTTTCTTTGCATGGATAAGGTGTTTTTCTTGTTTTATGGGTTTTTTTGTTTCTATTTTTAATATTTAAATTGTGCCCAGCAAAGGCCTGTATTTTAAAAGTGACAGTTGTTTATGCTAAAGGCTTATAGTTCTGTCTGCCTTAACAAAGTTTTACATAGACTAGTTTGTTTGAATGCAGACTGCATGAATGGTGGAAGTATCTAAGGCGGCTGGCAGGAATATATCCATGTGTGTGCTTGGCAGAGGGGCACGTTATTAACTCCATGCTTTCAGTACAGTTGCTTGCATTTTCTGCTGAACAGTGTGTATCATTTGTTTGGGAAAGCACTAGTAATAGGTTACTTGATAGAATTTTGGGGACCAAGAAGGAAATTAACACAGATTTTTAAAGTTCTGCCTACTACTGGAAATGTGAACCTAAATTCAGTAACCAAGATGAACAAAAAGGTGAATTTTCCATTAGTACTATCCCTGTCTCCTCGGTGTGTTGCAGGCTGTGTCCTCTTCCCTGGAATCTGATCCCCAAAACATGTTCAAATAAAATAATTGTTTTTTAAGCTCCTGTCCTGGGAAAAATGAAACGTTAAAATTGATTCTAAAATTATTCTATTTTATAATTATCTGATGCAAAGTGCTTTAGCATAGAATGAAGACCTTGAGCAGTTTATATTGTTTTTATTATGTACTCTAAAGAACCGTGTTTGAGTTTTAGTCAGTTCTTACCATTGTTGCTTAGCAGGGAAGAGTTGGGGACTTTTGGAAAATTTTTTTCCCCATTTGTAAAATAATGTTTGGGTTCAAACAAATTAGTTAAACATCTGTAACCTATTTTTCTGTAACTGTTGCTGTTGTTCTAAGCTATGTTAATGTTAAGCATTTTTTTGTATATAAAATTACAATAAAGCGTTAAAACTGGTTGCTTGTTTTGTGAATGAATGTAAAGAGAAAACTCAATGAATGGCTGATCCATGTGCTAGATGCTTGAAAAGTCAAGTTAGAATTCACTCCCTTAAACCCCGCTTATATCTAGACCATTGTATTTAGCATCTTGGAGAATTTAAAATTATGGATGCTCATGAACATTCTTTGCACCTAATTTAAAGCTGAAACTACTACCTGACTACCCTTTTCTGACTTCTCACATCTGCTATGTAGTATATTCAGTCATTCTGCTCTTCTTTCTTCCAAGTAGTATTCATCATGTGACACTTGAAACATTTTTAAGGTTAAGACCATCAAGTGTCTTCTCTTTCACTTAATTTTAGGGCTTTTGTTTGTCTTGTTACTCTTAGATGAGTAGTATGCAGAGCTAATGTAAGGTACGAACAGGGCTAAGGCTGGAGTGCTGGCACAGACTTAACTGAATGACCTAGGTTTCCACATGTCTGCTTGGTCATGCCAGGTTAGTTAGATACTGCTCTTCACAGGGAGTGGTATGTTGTCTCTGGCTGCTTGGTCTTTAATGTGTTTCTAATGTGTGTGTCAAATAATTACCTGTTAAACAGACTGCCAATCTGGCTGAAGCCAATGCATCTGAAGAAGATAAAATTAAAGCCATGATGTCGCAATCTGGCCATGAATACGACCCAATTAAGTAAGTTTCTAAGTGTTTTTATGCTAAAAGGAGGAAGTTTTGGGGTGGGCTTTTCTCCCCTAGTCAACAACATTATTTTTCTGTCCTTGTATACAAGAGATTTTTTTTCCCTTTCAGTTACATGAAGAAGCCTTTAGGCCCACCGCCTCCTTCTTATACTTGTTTCCGTTGTGGTAAACCCGGCCATTACATTAAGAATTGTCCAACAAATGGGGTAAGTCCAAAATAGAAACTATGTGTACAGCCTATTTTAATAGAGTGTTTTTAAAAGTATATTTATTTGAAAAGCTTACAGAGAGCAATATTCTGTCTGATAGATCACTCCCCAAATAGCTGCAATAGCCATGGCTGATCAGGCCAAAGCCAGCAGCCCGGAATTCCATATGGGTATCTCATGTTAATTTAGGGGTACAAGACTGGGGCATCTTCCACTGCTTTCCCAGGTGCATTATTAGCTGGAGCTGGTTCAGAAGGAGAATAGGTGGGGCTTGACCTGGCTCCCTTATAGGATGGTGGTATCCCAGGCAGTAGCTTAACCTCTTGCACCAAAACATTGTTCCCAGTGTTGCCTTTATTTGAACAACAAATGAGGATGATCACTAGTGCCATATTTGCCAGGCTTCCTGTCTGGCTTTTTCAGTTCAGCAGCTGTGTGGACATGGGCAGGTGACTTGGTCTCTAAGCCAGTTTTTGATGCTTTAAAGTGGAAGCAGTGACAGTACTCAGGTCGCAGGACTGTGAAGAGTTAAATGAGTTGTCCTCAAGGCATTCGTGGGAAATACAGAGAAAATATAGATGGATGTTAATATTAAACTTCAGTTTCATTTTCTGTGGAGATTATGAAGTGCTGTTTTTTATGAAACATCACTGCATAATGTTAACCTGTATGAAAGGTAACTTTGTTTCTGTGGTTTTTTGTTGTTTTGTTTTGTTTGTTTTATTTCCTTTCTTTGTTCTCTCTTCCAAATAGGACAAGAACTTTGAATCTGGTCCTAGGATTAAAAAGAGCACTGGAATTCCCAGAAGTTTTATGATGGAAGTAAAAGATCCTAACATGAAAGGTGCAATGCTTACCAACACTGGAAAATACGCAATACCAACTATAGATGCGTAAGTATGCAAATGAGATCATCCGAGAAGATGGCACTTAGTCCCCGTAGTCCAGTATTTTAATCCTGGGTTTATAACTTGGCGATCTGAATTTGCTTGAGAACTTTGATGTCAACTCTGAGTCTCCACATGCTGGATTTCTGTGTCAGGAATGAGGCTGCAGTCTGCTCCATTAAAACAAATGTAGGGTGATTTGGGGGTCTGTCATCAGTGAATGCCACTTCTCTGTAGTCTTCTAATTTGTTTCTTTTTTTCTGTTGTACCCTTTCTTCCTCATTCACATGTATGTTTCCATATAATTATTATACATGTTTTTTGTATTTTATAGATGAACAAAGCAATCATTTTTAAAAACATTTTTAGAAATTCTTAAGGTACTAGGCAAATTTAAATACCATTCAGATGAAATATCGAGAAATCCAGAAGTTTGGGTATACTGTGTGGATCTTTAGATTCTAACGTAGGATTTGTTTATTAAAGCCTTAGATCAGATATGGCTCTATATAATACCTTAATACTTACTTAACGTGCTTTCTGATTTTAAAAGTAAGTTCTTAATGAAAGGGGTAGGCATGAAAATCCAGTGGCATGATTCAACTTAGGAACTTCCCCAATTTTACCTGCTCTTATTAATGTATTTACTCTTAATTGCCTTTAGCAGTTGTGAGCTCACATAAGCTGTAACGTAGCATTGTGTCTTTGGACTAGGGTTTTCTGACTTCGTAATGTGTGAGAACCTTCTGTCAAAGTGTTTTAAAAGATTCTGAAAACTCTGTCCTTTATTTCTGACTTAGAGGTGATTTGAAAAGATTCTATTTTTGTGAAGTTTTTCACAACGTTATGTATTTTAAGGAATGTTTGAGTACACTCTTGGAGAAAGATCAAAGTAGGGAATAAAGGTCCATCTCAGTGACTCTCCCCATCCCCAAAAAGACTATGTGGATGGACAGCCTACTTCAGCTTCATGTTAAAATACTGCTGGAAGGTAGTGAGTAGATGGGAATGATGAAAATGGTTATTCCATGTAATGATACCAAATTGATATATTGTTTTGCCTGTGTACTTTAGATCACAGATGAGAAGTAGTGTTTCCCAGTACTTCCAACTCTACTCACTCCCTCAACTTCACCATCATCTATTTTCTATTAGTTATCATCCTGTGTTTTGTGCTTCATCTTACAGCAGTCTGGTTGTTATGCTGTTTGTAATTCAGACATTTCACAGATGTTTTCCAGGCAACTTCACTTTGAAATTATTGAGTCTTACAGTCTAAGAGCAGACCATTTTATGTAAAAGTTGTTAAAGTATAGACATTTGGGGGAGATGGATAGCCCTTGCGAACCCTGATGAATAATGAGTTACCTTGCTTGTGAGGGCTGAATACAATACAGAAGCCTGTTGGTCTCAGCCACACCTCAGACAGATACTGGGGAAAGATGGAGCACAGATTTTAAATGAAGCTTTCACCCTCTCCACTAACACCACTGATAAGCAACTCAGACTCTTCTGTTCTTTTTCTATCCTCTTTTCTCTCCTTTTTGTTTTGTCTTTTTTTTTTTTTCCTTTTCTCTCTTTTGGGCAGTGGGAGACTCCTCTTTCACAAATTGGGAACAATGGGGCATAAGCAAATTGATACTTATTTCTGGAATCGTGGTGATGTCTATGGAGCACCTGCAACACAAATGACACACCTAAGGTACCCTACTCTGTATAGCTGAGATTCTTCACACTGTGTCTAAATGAAATAGAAAGAATTTCTCTTGAATTCCTGTTTACCAGTTTGATCACAGAGATGGGAGTATGAAAACAGCGGTGACAAGTCTGAGACTAGCTTTTTTATCTTTGTATATTTAATAACCAGCACTTCTACAAAATGCACTTTGATAAAAGCTGCACTCAGAATGTCTAGTGAGATGTTACTTCATATTTTTGTAACCCATTCTGACCAATAAACTCATAATACCTTAGCAGTAGTAGATTAATCTCTTTTTCTTTAAAAAAAAATTGAAATTATAGTTAGATCATTAGTTTTGAAGTCTCATTCCAGTTTGTTTATATGGTGACAGCATAATGTCCTTGAATGTCCTTGAATGTCCCCTTGACTTTATAATGGCAGTATTTACACTACTTCCCATCTTGTGGCATTCGTTCTAATACCTATCCCAGGGTTTGGAGACTAGTGGAATATGGAAATGGGGCGGGCTGTTGTTTTCCCATGAAGCATGAGGAAGGTTAGGCTGTTTAAGTTCAGATCCTGTCTCTGGCACAGTTGCTTTGCTTACGGCCTTTCTTAAAGCTGTATATTTGAAGATCCATTTAGTTGCTTTTATAGTATTTCTGTTAAATTGTGTACTTGTTTATGGCTTTGTTTTATGTCTCTTTGTTTTGGAGGTGTACATATCTTCTCTCATTTTGGAAATTGTTAAGCTTCTCTAAACAAGTGTGTCCCTGCAGGGTTGTAGGGGATCATGCAGCGTGAACACGGTGCCTGCCTCCCAGTGCTAAAGCCCTCACCCCTTCTCTTCCAGAGAGGCGTATGCCATCGGGAAGAAGGAAAAGCCACCGTTTTTACCAGAGGAGCCGTCTTCTTCATCAGAGGAAGATGACCCCATCCCAGATGAATTGTTGTGTCTCATCTGCAAAGACATTATGACTGATGCCGTTGTCATTCCCTGCTGTGGAAACAGTTACTGTGATGAATGTAAGAAACGCTGAACCACCAAACCACCAGAAATGTGCATTTTAACATATTTGTGTTTATTTAGAGGCTCTGACTAACATCTATTTTAATAATGAAATTTGAAGCGTTGATAGTAAGTGAGCGTTTAGTAGGAACTGATTTGTTGTTATGTGTTTTCTAAATACTAGCCTCTGTCTTTTTAAACATTGGAATTGAACACTTTTTCTACCTTCAACCTGGGTGATTATAATATGCTTTTGCTTCACACAGTTTACAAAATTCTTAAACCTTTTATGCCTTCAGTGGTTTTGGAAATATTTTTAGATGATTCCTAAATGCCAACCTAAGATTGTGAATTCTGGCTTATTCTAAAATTCCTGCATATAATTATGATCTGCCTTCTGCAAACAGACTGCCAAACATTACCATTTGGTGTTGTGCCTTTTTAAACTACTTTCATTAGTACTGTGTGTGTATGTTTCACTGTGGCATATCTTAAGTTTGCTTCTTCTTGGATAAAGTGTTTTTTGAAAATTTCACTGCTGGGTGCCACTCCGGTTTTGTTTTTGTTTGTTTGTTTGTTTTTGTTTTTTTAATTTCTATTGATAGTTTCAAATGTAAATCTTTAGGGGTGGGACAGGGGCTCTTCAGTTGAAGACCAAGGTCAAAAAGATGTCCATGAAGACTCCTTTCAGTTTCCTGGATTCAACAAACCACTTACTATTCATCAGTGAATCTGTAATTTAGTGTTTCTTCTCTGCCTGCTGTCCTGTAGTAGGTGTCTCATTTCTTTGCCTGAATAGTTCTTAGTTTTTTTAAAAAGCAGAGTTGTATAGTGGGGAAGAGAAAACTTTAATCTCTCGTTTACTCCCCAAATGGCCACAGTTGCCAAAACTGTGCCTGCCAGAAGCCTAGTACTTGATCCAGGTTTCTTACTCTGGTAGCAGGTGCCCAACACTTAAGCCATCTTTTGATGCTTTTCCTGACATGTTAGCAGAGAGTTGGATCTGAAACTGAGCAGCCTTGTATGGGAGGCTGGTTACAGGTGGTGGCTTAACTGGCTATGCCCATGGTGCTGGCCCCAGTTCTTATTTTTTTAAATGCCTATTAAAGAGGCTTTAAAATTTTTTTTAATTTTCATTTACTTAAAATAGAGACAGGCGGATTTCCCATTTGTTAGTTCACTACCTCAAATGTCTGCAGCAGCTGTAGCTGGGCCAGATGGGAGCATGATTCCATACCAAGTACTTGAGCCATAACCCGCTGCCTCCGAGGGTGCACATTAGCAAGAAGCAGGATCGAAAGTGGAGCCGGGACAGGGACCCAGGCACTAGAATATGGATGCCAAGAGATATCTGGAACGAACACCTGCCCCTGAGGCTTTTTTAAAAACCCTAAGCAAACCGTGTACATTTTTTTACCATTTTATCTAGACTATCTTTTCTTTCTGATTTTTTCCCCTCTTTAATACAGCATAGGTCCTGGAGAAAAGTCAGCAGAGGAGTATTGTCAGGCAATCTTTTACCTAAATTTCTTAGCCTGAGAAGTTAATGCTCTCTTGCTTGGCAAGAAGTGATATGACTGAACCAAGTTGTAGGCCGTTTTTGTTAAAAACTCATTCTATAAACACTGAGTTCCTATTATGCTTTATTAATATTTAAATTTTATCATACATAGGTATAAGAACAGCACTTTTGGAATCAGAAGAACACACATGTCCAACATGTCATCAAAATGATGTCTCTCCTGATGCGTTAATTGCCAATAAATTTTTACGACAGGTAGCTATCTTTGCATTCCTTTTATGAACAAAATTTAATTTTTAACTATACTATTTTAATGACATATTGCATTTTTGTGAATTCTTATTCTTAATGTTTTGTATCTTTAGGCTGTTAATAACTTCAAAAATGAAACCGGTTATACAAAGAGGCTACGGAAACAGTTACCTCCAGCACCTCCGCCAATACCACCTCCAAGACCACTGCTCCAGCGCAGCCTGCAGCCTCTGATGAGATCTCCCCTATCGAGACAGCAAGACCCTCTCATGCTCCCAGTCACATCTTCATCAGCTCATCCAGCCGCCTCTATGTCATTGTCTTCCAACCAGTCCTCCTTGGCCCCTCCGGGGCCTGGAAATCCATCCTCCGGCCCAGCTCCTGTACCTGATATAACTGCAACCGTGTCTATATCTGTCCATTCAGAAAAAGCAGATGGACCTTTTCGGTGAGTCTTGTGTATTTCTCATTTTTAGGAGAAAAAAAATGAGGTCATCATGCAGTTTGTTTTATGCTTTTTAACATTTTGTTGATTGGGCTACTGTGCTCAATAAGTTGGGCTGACTTAGAAGAAACTATATTTAGCCAGGTTGAAGGGAGAGGCAAATAAATATGATTCATTTGGCAAGACTGTACACTACAGAAGTTGCCTACAACACCTGTTAAGTGTTAAGTCATAACATTTCTGCAGTTTGCAGGCAGTCGCTTCTTAATATCATAGTCTTAGAAGAAAGTGGTACAGTTAAGCAGAACTCAGGACAGTTTGAATCGGGTCAAGACAAAGGGACAAAACGTTGATTTAAGGAGATCAGAAATCATTATTGTTGTTTGGATATAGAATCGTGACATTAAAATCCTGAAGTAAAGGTCTTTGACCCTTTAATGTGGAATGCTTCATGAATTTGCATGTCATCTTCGCACAGAGGCTGTGCCAGTCTTCTCTGATCATCCAGTCTTAGTGTACGTGCCGCCGAAGCATTCACATGTTCTTTTTAGAAATGTGTAACTTTTTAAAAAGGAGGTGTCAGGGGCCTGCTTTGAGTATGCCAAAGCACAGTCTACAGGGTGAGGCCTCTGATCCGTTAGCCTTTTGTGTGGTTAATGGGGAATAAGGCTCGGAGTTCAGTGGCTTGCCTCAGAATTACCTCTTCACTTGACTCCTAAATCTCTTATTTTCTTCATATAAGTCCACATTTTTATTTTCTTCTTTTACTGAAGTTTCACTACTTTTGAAACCAGTTTGTGTCCTACCTTATTGTAGTACTGCCTCCAATTTACTTTGCCTAAATATATAATAAAACTCCTGAAGTTCAAATTCTCTGATAATTTCCCAGAAATTTTCATATCTTTGACTTAAATCATCTTTATGTGGGTGATACTGGATAAAAAATTAGTAATAAATTCTTAATCCTTCCTATCTGAGAGTTTTTAAATGTGCTATAAATTGCATTCTTTTCTAGGGATTCTGATAATAAGATGTTGCCAGCTGCAGCCCTGGCATCAGAGCACTCAAAGGGAACATCCTCAATTGCAATTTCTGCTCTTATGGAAGAGAAGGTAGATTTTATTGGCTTTTTTAAAATGTGGGGTTTTTTTCATATAATATTTTTTGTTTGCTTGATTCTTAAATCTGTTTATTCCACATTTTAAACTTTCTCTTTATTTTTGTTTCTTCCTAAAGGGGTACCAGGTACCTGTACTTGGAGCTCCATCTTTGCTTGGACAGTCATTACTACATGGGCAGTTGATCCCCACAACTGGTGAGTAAAAACATTTTGGTCTGGAACTTTAAAAAATAATTCTTTTTCTTTTTTCATTTAGCTTTATTTAACATGCGATTTTGTATTTATTGCTTTTGTTTGTTTGTTTCAAAGGCCCAGTGAGAATAAATGCTGCGCGTCCAGGTGCTGGTCGGCCAGGATGGGAACAGTAAGTGTGTTTTACACATCCTTAAAAGACAGCTGCTCTTGAAACCAGATCCTAAGACAAACTAGGCAAGGTGTTGCCACACTGTGTTCATTGCAAAATTTTGCCAGAGGAATACAATTTTGTGTAACATTTTACAAACTCAAGCTGTTGTGAAGAATTGCTTTCTAAGAACAGCGAGTGCACAGTTGGCCCTTGAACAACCTGCAGAATAGGAGCATCGCTCTCCACGGTTGAAAAACCACATATAACTTGATTTTTCCACAAGTTTCCCTACTATCCTGATATTGACTGGAAGCCTTTTTGATAAAGCAAACAACTGCTTAACACATATTTTGCATTTTATATGCACTATATGGTCTCAAGAAATACGTGAGAACCACAAATGATCACTTTATACTTTGATACACAAAGTACTAGAGTGAGTAACTAGCTGCTCAGATAAAAATGATTCCATCACGTGCATGTTGAGCAGATTCTAGAGCTTGCTGCAATAGCATATTTTATAATTTGTCTAATGGCAGAAAATTTAAAAAACTATCACCTAAATAATTTATACACTTGTGACATACATTTTTCATATGTTTTCAGTATGTTTTTGGCATGGTTCACCTCTAGGAGGTTTTCAAATGGTCTTAAGTCTTTAAAGAAGTCTTTAAAGAAAAAAACCACACAGTTCAAAACCCATGTTGTTTAAAGGTCAGAATACTAAAACAGAAAATCACAAATTCTTTTATTTTTGTGAATAATAATGGCAATCTTGGCAGGAAGTAAATTAATAAAAATGACTTAAAAACTTATTTTACCTATGGTATGTTGTATTTTCCTTCACATGACTGAAATTTCATTTCAGTAAATAGTACATATTAAGAGTAAAGTTTGCAAAACACATTTTTCCTATTTTGAGTAGTGTGTGAGTTGCTAATAAAATTTTATTGTATATTATAATCTATTGGATGTCATTTTTCTGCCATAAAATACAAAGAACTTTGTTTGGGATGTATGTTAAATGAAGGACAGCAGAATTTAGCAGTAGGAAGAACATGGGATTTGGAGATGAGTAAACTGGGCTTCCATCCCACTTCTGTTGACTAGTCAAGACTGAGCTCATGGCTTTACTACAGCTTCCATTTGTTTTGTTGTAGGATCGGAATGATGCTGCCACCTTAACGTGTAAAGTTCCTGCATAGAACTTTGCAGATGAAGGGTCTCTTTTTTTATGGAGTACTAATTTAAATATCACAAAAAATATTGAGGTTTAATTATTGTTACTAAGTTAGCAGTCAAAAAGAAGAAAAAGTTTTAAGTAAATGCTTAGCATCTACTCACTAAAGTTTGTATATTAATGTTCATGATAAAATGCTCAAGCCTTTTGACCTTTTTCTTCCTGCACAGTTCCAACAAGCTTGGATATCTGGTTTCTCCACCACAGCAAATTAGAAGGGGAGAGAGAAGCTGCTACAGGTAGGAAGGCATGAGGCACACTGCAACATGCAGAAAGAAATTAAAGCACAGGTGGCAAGGGTTGGGTAACCATTTGGTTTATGCTTAGCTCGAGTCCTTCATCGGTTATCCTCAAGAATAAAGTACATTTGGTATTTCAATGATGACTTTTTTTAAGGCTCCAGCCAACTTTTTTACAGCTACCCAATGATTGCTTTTAGCCTATCAATACTGAAAATTGGCTTGCTTTTTTTTTCTTCAATACATTTTTATTTTGAATTTTGAATTATGTGGTACAATTTTGTGTAGGCTGGGATTTCCCCCCCAAACTCCCACCCCCAGCAGATTTTTCCCATTTTACTACAGTGGTGTAGTCCTTCATAAGGAATCATAATTCTGTCAATCTCTTATTTAAGTGTACCCCGACATTGTTGGTACAGACAAGGTCGACAGTCCAGCATCCCATTGTCTACACGTGTCCAACAGTTTCATTGGGAATCCATCTTTTGTCTGGAAGCAGGGATGCATGTTCCATTATACTCCCACATCTGTATATGATCGAACCCAGTACTCCCTCACTATACATTTCCATAATTGAGAAGCCGTGAAACAAGGTCAGCAACTGGTATGAGTTAGAATAGCCACAACAACAACAAATCACAGCACTATGAAAAAATGCACCACTGAGTAACCAACACATGAGTGACAGAAAGGATGCACTTTCTTTTGGAGGCACAAAGAAATCATTACGTCCAGACAGGAGAAAAAATAAAAGATGACAATTTGAAATGAAAGATAACCTGCTCACTCCTAATTGTGAGAAAGACTTGTGCTTGTGTTTCTCTGGAGTGAATTGTCTTAGTCGTCTCCTGCCTTCTCTCTTCTAGAGAGATTATTATTAGGGGCATGACCCTTTAGGCACAAGCAAGCCATAAATCTTAATAGCTGGGTTACTGATCACCCCCAGGGTAGGGTGGCTTCCATACTTTCTGATTTTTTTTTAATCGACAATTGCCAAAGTTAGAAAAATTAAGTTTTATATTGCTTGATCACATGTTGAAAGCAGTGATGTTTATGAACTCCTAGTTCTGAAAAGACTTAAAGTCTAAAGCACTTCTGCTTGTGTACTACTTGCCTGTAATGAGATGAACCTTTCACTCAGCAGAAACCCACTCAATTTCTTAATGATATGCAGTTAACCCTTTGAGAGAAAGCACCGATAATTAAAATGTTAAAGCTTGTATAAATTCTGTCTCAATAAAGAGGTTACAAGAAGTAGGTTTTCTTTAAAAGGTTCATCTTGAAATACATTTAAGAGCTGGATCACAGTAGCATTAACCTGTTACTTATTTTTAAAGTTAGATAAAAGGTGAAAATCACATATCAGTATCCCCATGTAGAGAAGGTTCTATGAACATACGTCAATCTTGTTTAAAAATTTTGTTTATAAAATTAGTTGTACAAATGAATGTATCTATTTCTATGCTGGCTGTTTCTTTTCTGCTGTTTGTAAGCTTGAAAATAATTGTGTGTAGAAAATACATACATACTTGTCTTATCTGACTTTTAGCCTGAAAAAAATAATAATTTGGAATTTATTTCTCCAGAAGTATAAACCGTGGGCGACACCACAGCGAAAGATCCCAGAGGACCCAAGGCCCATCACTTCCAGCAACTCCAGTCTTTGTACCTGTTCCTCCACCTCCTCTGTATCCACCTCCACCCCATACGCTTCCTCTCCCTCCAGGTGTTCCTCCTCCACAGTTCTCTCCTCAGTTTCCTCCTGGCCAGCCACCCCCTGCTGGGTATAGTGTCCCTCCGCCAGGGTTTCCTCCGGCTCCCGCCAATTTATCAACACCTTGGGTATCATCAGGAGTGCAGACAGCTCATTCCAATGCCATCCCAACAACACAAGCACCCCCGTTGTCCAGGGAAGAATTCTATAGAGAACAACGACGACTGAAAGAAGAGTAAGTATTTCATTTTGGAATTACTCTACGCTTCTTTCATTTTCTGATATAACATTAAATAGGTATATTTGGAAACATTTTACAGTGTTTCCAGTTAGTGCAAGAAAATTCACCTAAAATTTAAACCAAAGCCATATAAGACACTTCCTCAGGGATTTCTAGTTATTTGTAGTTTAAAGTGGAAAACTAATGGCAATTTCATTCATTTCATTCATGATCGAATTACATTTGTCTTGTTAGTTTTCTTAAATGGTTTTTGTTAACTTTCACTCTTTAACTTTATTTTACTAGGGAAAAGAAAAAGTCCAAGCTAGATGAGTTTACAAATGATTTTGCTAAGGAATTGATGGAATACAAAAAGATTCAAAAGGAGCGTAGGCGCTCATTTTCCAGGTTAGTGTTTTGCAAGCCTTCACAACAGAATTATAAATGGGACTTTGAATATCCAGGGATTAGCTATGGATATAACAACATTGCAGATATGAAATTTTTCTGATTCGGTCTAGGCTTATAGAAATGGAGATGTAGCTTATTTCCCAATATCTGTTTATTGAAATAATGTCTCAGTGTAAATTCTATTGTGTAGAACTCGCAGTTATGGGGATTAATTTGCCCATGTCCCTTGAAGTCATGTGTAGTGAGAAATAACTGGGAGATGTTTACTGAAGATAAGAAATAGGGGAAAGTCTTCAAAGCATTTCTGACACCCTTTTATCATAAGGCTACAGCTTCTTGCTGGAACATTAACCTGTGGAATTACAAAGTAGTGATAGCAGACAAATTGCTTTATTGATAGAAAATGAATTTTTTAAATTCCCTGGAAGTTTGTTTATAAACTTATTTTTTAGACTTAACGCTTGAAACATGGTTTTTGGTTTTTGACTTTTTGTTTTGTTTTTTTATTTGTTTTTTTGGCAAAGTTAGACTATTGGCCAGTGTAGGGCAAAAATTAAACTCCTGTTAAATAATTAGATAGGAAGTGAAATTTAATTGGCATTTTGTTTAATGTTAATTGGCTCATATAACTCACGGTACATTAATGCACTCCACTCCTAATTGTTAAGATTTCACTTTTGTTTTGTAATAAGTGATTGCTCTGATTTGTGTATTTTATTCCATCCCAATAGAGGTCACTGTGCCTCTTAAATCATCTGAGATAAAATTTTATGTAATGGAAAAAAAAAAATCAAACCGTGAGGAGAGAATTCTAGAATCTGAGATTCTATGGTTTATTTTGATATACTTCTCAACTATCACCGGTTTTGTTTTGTTTTTATTTTTAGGTCTAAATCACCCTATAGTGGTTCATCGTACTCAAGAAGCTCATACACGTACTCTAAGTCAAGATCGGGTTCAACACGTTCACGCTCTTATTCTCGATCATTCAGCCGCTCACATTCTCGTTCTTATTCACGATCACCTCCATATCCCAGAAGAGGGAGAGGGAAGAGTCGGAATTACCGTTCACGGTCCAGATCTCATGGATATCATCGATCTAGGTCAAGGTCACCCCCGTATAGACGCTACCATTCACGATCGAGATCTCCTCAGGCATTTAGGGCACAGTCTCCCAGTAAGCGTACTGTACCTCCAGGGGAGACAGAACGTGAATATTTTAATAGATTCAGAGAAATACCTCCACCGTATGACATGAAAGCGTATTACGGGAGGAGTGTTGATTTTAGAGATCAGTATGAAAAAGACCGATACCGAGAATGGGAGAGAAAATACAGAGAGTGGTATGAAAAATACTATAAAGGTTATGCTGCTGGAGCCCAACCCAGGCCCTCAGCAAATAGAGAGAACTTTTCTCCAGAGAGGTTTTTACCACTTAATATCAGGAATTCTCCTTTCACTAGAGGCCGCAGAGAAGATTATGTTAGTGGACAAACTCACAGAGGTCGGAATATCGGTGGCAACTATCCAGAAAAACTTTCAACAAGAGACAGCCACAATCAGAAGGATAGTACAAAGTCAAAAGAAAAAGAGAGTGACAACGTTGCAGGAGATGGTAAAGGAAATAAGCATAAAAAACACAGAAAAAGAAGAAAAGGGGAAGAAAGTGAAGGCTTTCTGAACCCAGAGTTATTAGAGACTTCTAGGAAATCAAGAGAACCTGCAAGTGTTGAAGAAAATAAAACAGACTCATTGTTTGTTCTCCCAAGTAGAGACGATGCCACGCCAGTTAGAGATGAACCAATGGACGCAGACTCTATCACTTTTAAATCGGTATCTGAGAAAGAGAAGCGAGAAAAAGATAAACCGAAATCAAAAGGGGACAAGACCAAACGGAAAAATGATGGATCTGCTGTACCTAAAAAGGAAAATGTTACTAAGCCTTCTAAAGGAGCTCAGGAAAAACTAGATGGAGAACGGGAAAGATCTCCTCGATCTGAGCCGCCACCTAAAAAAGCCAAAGAGGAGACTCCAAAGACAGAGGTCGCTAAATCCTCCTCATCGTCTCAGAAGGACGACAAGGCCAGTGGCACCCCCAGAAAAGCGCACTCAAAACCTGCGAAAGAACACCAAGAAACAAAGTCAGTCAAAGAGGAGAAGGCGAAGAAGGATTATTCCAAAGACGTCAAATCAGAAAAGCTGACTAATAAGGAAGAAAAGGCCAAAAAGCCTAGTGAGAAAAATAAACTGCTTGATAGCAAGGGAGAAAAAAGAAAAAGAAAAACTGAAGAAAAAGGGATAGATAAAGATTTCGAGTCGTCCTCAGTGAAAATCTCTAAACTAGAAGCTTCAACAGAGATGCTGAAACCATCACCAAAACGCAAAATGGAGTCTGATAGTGAAAAACTGGATAGGACTCCTGAAAAAGACAAAGCTTCATCAACAGCCCCTGCCAAAAAAATCAAGCTCAACAGAGAGACTGGGAAAAAAATTGGAAGTACAGAAAATCCGTCTAGTACTAAAGAGTCCTCTGAAAAACTGGAGTCAACATCGAGCAAAATTAAACAGGAAAAGGTGAAAGGAAAGGCCAAACGAAAAGCAACTGGAAATGAGGGATCCACGTCGACTCTTGTGGACTATACCAGGTACTTGACTGAAGGCAGACGGGAACGGATGGACTTTGTGGGGAAGATCTCCTTCAGCTCACGATCGTGCCTTTTATGTTAATTAAAAATGTGCTGATCATGAGGAATAGTCCAGCTTACTCTCTTGTTGCCCTTAAAAACAAGGTTGTAGATTCGGTTTGAGGACGATAGCTGTATGTGTCACTATGAATTATTAGAGCAGAATGACTTTTTTTTTTTTTTATAAAAAGTTAGATTTGTCATGTTTATGTTCATGTCTTGAATTTATGAATTTGTAATTAATAGTTTTGTAACTAAGAATTTCTCATTCTCTTTTAGCACCAGCTCAACCGGAGGCAGCCCTGTGCGTAAGTCTGAAGAAAAGACGGACACCAAACGAACTGTCATTAAAACTATGGAAGAATACAACAATGACAACACGGCCCCTGCAGAGGATGTCATCATCATGATCCAGGTGCCTCAGTCCAAGTGGGATAAAGATGACTTTGAGTCTGAAGAAGAAGATGCTAGATCTGCACAGCCCGTATCAACTGTAGCAAAACCTGCCAGCGTCATCAAAAATGTTAGTAATAAACCATCAAACACGGTCAAATATACTGAGAAGGACACTGAGCCATCAGAAAAAGTCCAGAAACTGACCAAGGAAGTTAGCCATGACATTCTAAGTCATGAGGTCAAAAGTTCGAAAACTTCTGCATCTGCATCTAGTGAAAGAGGGAAAATCAAAGATCGAGATCATTCTGTATCAGAGAAGGAGAACCCTGAAAAGAGGAGGAACAGCATTCAGCCAGAAAAGGAGAGTAATCCGGACCGGTTGAGTGAACAAGGAAGTTTTAAAAGTCTGTCCCAATCTTCCAAAGAGACTCGACCTTCAGATAAGCACGACTCCATTCGTGGTTCGTCAAATAAAGACCTCACTCCCAGCAGGGACAAAAAAGCCGACTCTGACGGTAGAGAGTATTCAGGCTCCAGACGGAGAGACGAGAGGAACGAGCTGACAAGGAGAAAAGACTCTCCTCCCCGGAACAGAGACTCATCTGGTCAGAGAAGTAAGCCAAGGGAGGAAAAAGATTTGTCTAAAAAAGGAACGGGAGAGTCTAAAAAAAGTAGTTCTAGTCCCTCGAGAGACAAAAAACCTCACGATCACAAAGCCACTTACGATACTAAGCGATCAAGTGAGGAGACAAAATCTGTGGACAAAAATCCTTGTAAGGATCGTGAGAAGCATCTGTTAGAAGCAAGAAACAAAGAGTCAAGTGGCAATAAATTGCTTTATTTTTTTAATCCACAAGACACGCAGATTGAAAAAGAGCAAATTACTGGGCAGATTGACAAGAATGCTGTCAAGCCCAAAACCCCATTAAGTCATTCCTCTAGACTTTCCTCTGACTTAACAAGAGAAACTGATGAGGCTGCTTTTGAACCAGACTATAATGAAAGTGACAGTGAAAGTAATGTGTCTGTGAAAGAGGAGGAAACTTCTGGAAACATTTCCAAGGACCTGAAAGACAAAATGATGGAGAAAGCAAAAGAGAGCCTGGACACAGTAGCCGTCAGCCAGGCTGGGGTCTGCCAGAGCCAGAGCCAGAGCAGCCCCAGCGTGAGTCCAAGCCGGAGTCAGAGCCCTTCTGGGAGTCAGACGAGAAGCCACAGCAGCAGTGCCAGCTCCGCAGAAAGTCAGGACAGCAAGAAGAAGAAGAAAAAGAAAGAGAAGAAGAAGCACAAGAAACACAAAAAACATAAGAAGCATAAGAAACACGCAGGCGCTGAGGCAGAACTGGAGAAAAGCCAAAAACACAAACACAAGAAAAAGAAGTCCAAGAAAAACAAAGAGAAGGAGAAGGAGAAAGAGAAGGATGACCAAAAAGCGAAATCTGTCACTGCGTAAAAGGACAGATTTTAAAAATCGACTTAATTACTAAGTCATCTGTATTAAATTTTGTTATAATGTAAAGAGATTGAAACCTTGTAAATAATGACATGGAAGACCCTGTGCTGCACTTAAAATATTGCTGCTTGATTATTTGATTTTTACATCAGAGCTTTATAACACGAACTTTTGTACAGAAATGTGTGTTGTGACCATGTAACATGAGAGGTTTTGCTAGGGCCTATTATTTTTAACCACCATTAATTAGTTGAGGTGGAGTTTACTGTGAAATTTTCACATTTGAATTTTTTTAATTGCCTGGCAAAAGCTGATACCAGTTCTAAAATATCAGCAGAATGATTTGCTGAATTCATTACAACCCCGTTATGTCACTTTTTGATTACAATAAAAGTTTTCAGTAAACTTTTCAAATGTTAAGTGTTTGTTACTTTTGAGTGGTTGTGTCATTTTCTCTTTCCCCTCCCATTTCCGTATTTAAAGAAATCCTTTGAGGCTGTAATAAAAACGTTGGACTCGGACTATACAAACCTCTAAACTAATGTTGAAGATAAATCTCATAGGTGAAAGATGGCCAGATACATATGTCAAGATTAATTGGAGATGTTGCTGAATAAATCCGGGAGGGTCTTAATACAGTATTTGCAAGTTTAGGCTTTTAATAAAGCTGGTTTGGATCTTGGAAGATGAAGAATTCTGACTTGCTTATTTTTTTCTCAAGATTCTGGTAAGTGTGACTATTTGATAAAATGGGATGCAGCCCATCCAGTGAGTGTGACTTACTCTAACTTGGATTTCTTTTGTTGCTGTGGTATAATAGGTATTGTTGTAAACAGGGAAAAACCACTAAAATATGGGGAGTGAGAGTAAATGCTCTACATCTCACCTGACTTAACTGCGTGGCATCCACCCCGCGGGTGCTACAGCCTGGAACTGCCCAACCTGCCCTCGGTTCCAGCTGATGCCGAGCGGGGCGGGAAGGGAAGGGAAGTGGGGTTGCTGCAGCCTAGCCCATGCCAGCCAGGCCCCAGTCCTGGTCCTGATGTAAACAGGCTGGTGGTGTGGCCCAACCAGCCTGTTCTGCACTTCATCCTGGTTCTCATCTGCCAGTGGGTGTTATGGACCTGCCCAGCCTGGACAGTCCCCCAGTGGGTGTTAGGAACTGGCCTGGACTGTCCTGTGCCCCAGTGGGTATTGGGGACTATCCCCCAGACCTGACCCCCATGTATGCCAACAGGTACTGTAACCTGGCTTGGTCTGGGCTAATACCAGCCTTTGCTTTTGTACTCCGCTGCAGGGATTATTTCCTGACAGAGGAGTTTGCCAAGCTCCTGTATCAGGTCACCCCCCAGTCACATATCGCACACACCAATGGCTCCTTGGCCCACCTCCTGTACTGGCAGGTACAGCGGCCTTGCTGAATCAACCCATACTCCTTTTGGCGCCTACTGTTGGGTACTACAGCCCAGCCCTGCCTGGCCCACCCACAGACTCAGCTTTTGTGTGGTTCGGCAGGCCCCAAGAGAGCCCAACTCATCCTACATCCACCTGGCACTTGTAAGCATCCGCAGTGCTGGAACCCAGCCCTGCCTGGCACACCTCAGACGCAGTCCACACCCATGCTGAAGAACACTGCAGTCAGGTCCAGCCCAGTTCATGGCCCCATTTCAGCTCACGCGCACCAGTAGTAACCATAAACCAGCCAAGGTGCCCCTAGAGCTCTCTGACCTGGCCTGCTCTCAGCCACAGATCTTGTGTGTTCTGGTGGTTGCTCTAAACCAGCCCAACCTAGCCCATCTCATCTTGGCCCTTGCCATTAGATGCTGCAACCTGGCCTGGGCCAGACCACCTCCAGCCCCAGCTCTCACTGCAGGGTGCTGCAGCTTAGCCCTACCTAGTTTGCCCCATTCTTGGCTTTCATGCAAACCAGTAGGTGTGATAACCTAGCCCATCATACTGCACACTCCATCCTGGCTCCTGCGCATGCTACAGTGCTAGGCTTTGACCGGCCCTGCCCAGTCCACCCCGCCTCTGAGCCCACCCACATACCTGCTGACAAGTGCAGCAGTGTTGCCCCACCTGACCAACACCCAGCCCTGACTCATGCTCACCAGAGGGGGTGATGGCCCACAGGGGAGTTCTGCAAGTACCCCCACAAGGACCAAATTTCATGTGTACTGGCAGGTGCTAGGCCCTTACCCAACATTGCTTGACCCCCCCCCCCTTGCCCCCAGTCTCAGCTTTCATGTGTGCTGGTAGATGTTGTGGTCCATCCTGCCCCACACCCTATCCTTGATGCACTGATGGGTGCTGCAGCCTGAACCATCCTGGCCTGTTCTCAACTCTGCTAACCATGACTATTGCTGACTTCCATGGTCATGCCTAGCTCAGCCTGTCCTCCACCCCAACTCTTGAGTAAACCAGCAGATATTGCTGGTCTACAGAGGTGAGCCCACATACACCCCACAGAATCTGCCCCTAGACCTGGTTCTCTTGTGTGCTGGTTAGTGTCATGGCCCAGCCTAACGTTACTCATCCTGTTCTGACACTCACTGGTGGGTGATGTGGTCTAGCCCTGCCAGGCAGGCCCCCAACCCTAACACTAAAGTGTGCTATAGTGGGTGGTGGTGGTGAGTGGTGGTTGATGCTGACTCACCTAGCCCAGGTCTTCCACGTGGGCATTGGTCTGACCCAGAAAGTTCCTCCAGCTTCCCTTCTCCAAAGCACTTAGCCCCCTCCCCTTGCTTGTCTGCAAGCACAGTGATTTGATCAGTGGAAGTTCCCCAGAAGCCATTCCTCACCTGTTTGTACTGCCTCCTCAGTCCCTCCCATATATCTCAGACCCCTTCCCTGAGCAAGCCACAACCCCCATGCCTGCGAGCAAATGGGTTCCGAAGTCTGGTTTTCTGGTGGACTAGCATGCTGACCTGTCCACCCAGGATCCTAGAACAAGTCCTCCCGCACACATGCCGGTCTGGAAACCCGTCCTGACACCCAGCCGGGACTCAAGCATGTTGATGAGTCCATACGTCCAGTCCACCTGCACTCTACGCCAGCACGCCAACCTAGGGCTGTATCCCCATACCCACCCACCTGGACCCAAACACATGGAGGAGTTACCAGGCCCACCTTGCTCCACCAGCCTCCAGCCAGAGTCCCTCGGCCCCTCGAGGCCTTCTAAGTGTCATAGCAGTAGAAGCAAGTAGCCTAGGCTGGGCAGGTGTATTGGTTTGGCCCCAAAGGTTTCTCTGGTTTTTCTTCTCTAAACCACGTGGTCTCAGACCCTTCTCATTCACTTGCAAATGCAGTAGCTAAATAGAATAGGCGACTCTACAGGCACACTGGTGTAGTTAACACAAATTTGGCATTAACCAGGCCAGGATGCCTGCCAGCTATGAGCTGCTTTTCTCCCAGTGGTGTAACACTTGCCTAGACATGATACGACATAGGCAGTTGCCTGCAGCTGGGGTTCAAAGACTTTTTAAGAAGTTACTTGCCAGTTCGAGATTGACAGCAATTCATAACTGGTGAACTATCAAAACCACTTGAGCAAGTATCTCAGAGCCTGCCCCACATCCAGGACCTGGGGTGGGTGAGAAATTGGGTGGGGCTTCTCCCTCAATATCCCCCTTTACCTCACATACAAGAAACAATATGGAAATAATAGTCTTACCCACTTTCCTATAGTCCTTGAACCTTTTTATCGTAATTATGTAAAGATTGTCAAAAATATAATAAAACATATATATATTAAAAGAAATTACTTGCCAGTTGTGCCAGTTGGTTCTACTTCATTTAATCCTTAAAATTGTAGTGGCTTGGGCTCAGCTTGGTGGTCTAGCAGCTTAAGTCCTTGCCTTTGACGCACCAGGATCCCATTTGGGCACCGGTTCTAATCCTGGTGGTCGTGCTTCCCATCCAGCTCCGTGCTTGTGGTCTGGGAAAGCAGTTGAGGACAACCCAAAGGGACCCTGCACTCATGTGGGAGACTGAAAGAAGCTCCTGGCTCCTTGCTTTGGATCGGCTCAGCTCCAGTCATTGCAGTCACTTGGGGAGTGAATCAATGGACGGAAGATCTTCCACTCTGTCCCTCCTCCTCTCTATAGCTGACTTTGCAATAAAAATGAATAAATATTTTTCTAAAAAATGCAATGGCTCTTCATGTCTCCTGCCATTTTCAGCAGAAAACTCCACTGCTTGTGAAAAATTAGCAAACCTGGGTAGAGTCAGACAACAGGTAAGGACACCTGGTTTTTCCAGCCCACTAACAGGCCTTTTCTTTGGTTTAGCTTGGCTATTTCACCTAGCTGGAATTTACTTCCTTCTCTGTGCTTCTCAAAGTTCCCTATTTATTCAAGCACTGTGTCACCTTGTTTGACTGACCTTCTCCCAGGGAATGCCTGCCCATCCCTGTGATGGCATCATTGAAAATGCAGTGGTAACACTGCAAATTATTTCCTTTGGGCTCTGTTTGGGTGTCCCCATTGTTGGCCTGAGAGTGAGCCTCAGAAGAAAGTGTCTGCCTTGGGTTCCAGAAGCCAAACCATGTCTTCCACATAGTAAAAACTTGAAATAAGTTTTTCTTTTTTTAACTTTGAGATTGTTTTACCAAGCAAGTTAATCTTCACCAACATAGCCAAAACACATATGTGTAATGAGCAGAACAACAAGCCAGCAGCATGTCAGCTTACTTGGTGAGGGACTTAATTTTTGAGCTATACTGTAGTTCTGAAGAATTGTGCCCTTGCAATAACTAGGTGCTTCAGTGTGCCAAGGATATTCCAAAGTGTTAGGAATTGCGCAAAATTTAAGCCCATTTACTTAGAATAGTTCCGCCAGCTGTTAGGGAGAGGTATAGTCACAGCATTGGGGCTTGTTGCTACATTAGGTGAAAAGTCAGTGGAACTGAGTAAAAGTCCAGAAATTGTCCCACGTAGAAAAGTACATTAATGCTTTTCAGCATAAGCAAATGAGAAAAGGATAATTTTTTCACGAAGTAGCTTTGAGAGAACTGTTTCCCAATTATGATCAATTTTTTACATTTTTTAAAATTGCATATCCTGAGGATTGAATCGATTTTCCTCAAGTCTTTTGGAACTACCTTCTTCTCTTTAAATAATTCAGGTTGTTGTTTTCATGAACTGACCAGTCAAGTGGAAACAAGGATCTACTGCACCTGGCTGGATAGGCAGAAGCACCTGCAGGCATAAGGGTAGGCTGGATAGTGGGGTCAGTTGGGCTGAGCTAGGCTACAGCACCCATGGGTGTGTACAAGAGCCGAATGGGACGTTGGACAGACCAGGTAAGTCTGCTGAACATACCAGCATGAACAGGAACCAGGGCTGGGGACATGCCTGGTGGGGTTATTAGGGTTTGCCCTGACTAGGCTGCAGTTCCCATTGGTGTATGTGAGGGGTGTGTGTGTGGTGGGCCAGGCTTGGCTGGGCCGTAGCATCCATTGATTTGCATATGAGATGGGGCTGGAGATAGAACTAAACCAGTAACTGCAACCACCAGTGTGTGTGTGTGTGTGTGTGTGTAGGCTAATGTAGGCAATGGACTGAGCTGGCACACACAGAAGTCAGGTCTGAGTGTCACCTCTAGTGAAGTGAAGTTTCTTTGAGTACTTCCTCAAATAGATCATTGGACTCAGACTCAGCCATGGGGAGAACTGCAGGATCAGTG